CTCTAGGTCGATGACACTGACTGCTGACCTACACGTGTGTTCTGTGACATATGTACCTGCTCTGTCCTGCCTATCCCATACCTTGAATCTACTTATCTGAACAAATCCTCTTTGCCTAAACCACTTTGAGCTGGATTTTTGTCAGCCGCAAACAAAGCTCGCTCAAGGAGAAGAAGGTTCTCTTTAGTCTCTGTGACCTTTCCCAGAATGGAGGGTAAAACTTTAAGCGTATATGCTTTTTTTTTTCCTTTGGGAAGGTATATATAAACATGAAATTATTAATTGTTAAATTTGTGTGTGTGTGCACGAAGGGTATACATGCCCAGGTGTGTGCAGAGAGGTCAGAGGACCACTTTTGAGAATCCTTGCTGAAGCAGGTCAACCTTGTTGTTTCTACTTCTGTACTGTGTACTTGCTGGCACCATTCCAGGTGAATCTCCTGACTACTCCCCATCCTCCCCAGGAGTGTCCTGAGGTTACAAGCTGCCCCATCAGGCCTGTTGCATGATTTCCAGGGATTGAACGCTTGTTCTCAAGCTTGTGTGGCCAGAGATCCATTGAACCACCTCCCCAACCCTGAAACTTTTTATTAAGCTTTCTGAAAATAATTTCACATTATCAGAAGTTATACATGAGGGGCAGGGGGGCAGAACTCAAAGTAAACAAGCACAGGGCACTTGGGGCCAGACATTTAGAACAATGTATTATCCATCCATATACAAAAGAGTATGCAAGACAAAAGCAAGGGTAATTGTAAAAAAGAAACATTAATTTAACTTGGTTTTCCGGCAGTGGTAGCACACACCTTTAGTCCCAGCACTTGGGAGGCAGAGGCAGGTGGATTTCTGAGTTCGAGGCCAGCCTGGTCTACAGAGTGAGTTCCAGGACAGCCAGGACTACACAGAGAAACCCTGTCTCGAAAAACTAGAAAAAAAAAAAGAAAAAGAAAAAAGAAAGACAGGGGCGTAACTTGGTTTTCCCTAACTGGGTGTGAGATGTATCATTTGACATAGTGTCAGGATGAGGGACTCAGGATCACAGAATCCACCATTTACCCAGGACAGCACAGTTGAGAATGTGTTTGACATCCCCCCTCCTCCACCCAACAACCTTCCAATGAGCTGCTTCTCACCTACCTTATTGTCTTAGGCATTGTTCTGCTGCTGTGAAGAGATACCATAGCTATAGCAACTCTTGTAATAGAAATCATTACAATTGAGGGCTTGCTTACAGTTTCAGAGTTTTAGTCCATTATCATCAAGGCAGGACACATGGTGCCATGCAGACAGACACCTGGAGCCGTAGCTGTGAATATACATCCTGATCTGTCAGCACAGAAAGAGACTCTGGGCTTGGCAAGGACTTTTGAAACCTCTAAGGCCACCCCAGTGACACACTTCCTCCAACTAGGCCATACCTCCTAATCTTTCTAATCCTTTCAAATAGTGTCACTCCCTGGGGACTAGCATTCAGATATATGAGCCTATAGGGGTGGGCATTCCTATTCAAATCACACATGTCTTCTAATTCATCTGCATTAAATTTGGTTAAACCTCCTTCTCTGAGATGTGGCTCTTCTAGTGACTTGGTTCTAGACATGGCTTCAACCACACCCTTATTCTGCAACTTGAGCCACTTGGACATGATGAGATAGCTATGGTGAGCTCTGGGGCTTCCCAAAGGCATCCTGCAACACCTGTCTAAGCTTGGGGCATCATTGAGATCATGAAAAGCCATCAGAAAACTGGTCCAAGTGTCTTATGGTAACCCATCCATGCAACTGGTTGTATACATCCAAGGAGAAGCTGTCGTTTGTGGCTTTTGCATACCAGGCTCCGATGAAAAAGGAAGCTAGTCAGCTTACTTGGCTGCAGAAGGAACTTTTAGTTTTACCTGTCATGTTTCAATTTTAAACATAATTTTGAAATATTGTTTCAAATTATTAATAAAATAACTTTGTTTCTCTCTCGCCTCTCTCCTCCCTCCCTCTCCCTCTCTCTCTCTCTCTCTCTCTCTCTCTCTCTCTCTCTCTCTCTCTC